ATCCGCACTGGCGAATAGGTATTCCGCAAGAATGGGTGATACTCTCGGAGGAGCATTCCATGTGACGTATGTGGAAAACCTGCCAAGCATCGTACGCTGTGGGCTAGTCCCCGGCGGAATCGATGGCGGCAACAGGCTAGCACTGCACTTCGGGGCGTTTGCTCCATGGGATGAGATGAACGTGGCGACGAAGACAACGCTACGGAACGTGAGGAGAGGGGATCCGATTGCGATCATCTATATTCCCAGTGCAACCCTCGCGCGGTATGGGGCTGGAGTCGCGGCTAATGGGACTTTCATGGTCTTTGACGTGATCCCGTTCTATGAGGTCAAGTCCATTTGGATTGGCAAAAGCAACGGAGGGAAGCGCCTGGAGTACGCTGACATCAAGAGGGCGTACTCGAAGTGTGTGGAGAACGAGATCTGCCCTGGCTTTGTCAACTCTTCCCAAGAGTCGGCTGCGATGTTCCTCCAGAACGTCGCAAAGATCAGCGAGAGGATGCCGGAGACTGAGACAGGTGCCGATAATCTGCACTACATCGTTGACATGGTTAATCGTGCCTGCGAACTCTATCGAATCAACAAGATGGAAGAGTTCAATGCACAGGTCAACGAGGTCCGGGACGAAATCAGCAAAGTCGTCATCCTGAATGACGAGACATGGGAAGGACTGAGGTGCCGGATATGTCCATCATGTGCGACCGCGATCCCCACCTGCTTCTGCTTATGCCTGGAGTGCGAAGCACAACTGATCTCCATCGGAAGATACTACATTCACATCAAATCCGATGACGAGGAGGACAACCAAAACCCCAACGTCTCTGGAGATGCCAGGCGTGCACAGGAAGAAGCTAACCACGATGCGGCAGCACAGGAGGATGAAGACGAAGCGGAGGAAGTTCCGGGAGAAGATGACGACATGGACACGCAAGGATATACATCCGGCTATGCGTCAGAAGAAGAAGACAGCGGTTGGCATTACCGCGACACCGATCTGGCGTCACGGGACATTATAAGTTCCCAACGGATGGCGATCTGCCTTGACGAGCCGCGTGAGGCTCAGTACATGGCAGGATTTATCGCACTCCAGATGTCCAAGATGTGGGGGATGTTTGAAGGTGGTGAGGAGAGAACGATGAATGCCGGACTCGAAGGGAGGCCGGGCTGCCCTTATCACAATGACTTCAAGAGGTACCCCAACATCACCGAGCACGATCAGGAAGGTATACTTTTGCCATCAACAATAACGAAGATTTCTCAATCGGAGAATGTTCGGACAAGAGCCTTCCGATCGGTTGAGGAGCGTGACGAATATATTCGTATGATGGTGTGCAAATGCGAGGGACTATACACATTCTACAAGCTGTGGATTGCAGCAAGAATCCTCGATGTCACCAAGGAAGAAATGAAGCTCCTGGTCAAGGACCGAGTGCACCCGGTGGGTGATATTATTTTCAGATGTTTTGCACTAGCTTTCAACTGTAAGTATATATCATTCGTGAGGGATGGCCTGAACCTTGGCAAACATGGTTACACGGTCAACGTGAGCGCCATCATCTCGGCCGTCGACCCGAACAAATGCGACACACCCCTGCTGGATTGGTGCCTTCGGAAAGGGCACTGGTTGCCAGAGGACTACAACAAGAAGTGTGTCCGGGCGCGAGAAGCCCAGAAGAACTTGGACGAGGAGTTCCGTCGACGCACTCACAGACTGTCCATTGGGGACCGGTATGCGTAGTGAAGATGCTGATTGCGGCACGATGTGGGTTAGTCCCCATCTGTTGCTTGCGTCTCATCAACACCATTGCGATGGAACGACTTTACATTATGATATGATTTCATATATCCAAGTTGAATGGATGTGTACATGGTTACATATTCCGATGACTATGACGCTCTGGATATTCATGGATGGAACTATTACCTTATAGATGATATCTTTTCATTATTTATGCATTGTCCATGGTATCTGGAATGGCTATGATTTGCATTGATTACTCACCGATGTTTCTTTGCCGGAGATATGCAGACCGATTACAAGCAGGCGCCTCTGGTGGACTTTTGCGGCCAACCCATTTATGGATGACAGCTGCGCGATGCGCAAATGCGGCAGCTGGAATGTTCACTGGCGGTCAAGTGAAGTGGCCACAGTGTATTATATACACCTGCATATGGATGTGTGCTTCGATTGGAGGATGAATGTTTCACTTTTCGTACAATCGAACCCGGCATGTTTCACAGCGAATGAACGGTGTAGTGATAGCAAGTAAAAGAATGCACGACACGATTTCGTAGTTGAAGCCGTGGCCAGTGGAACGTTTTGTGGTGTTTGGACCGCATGATGAACAATGCGACCCAAATGGGGGATGTTAAAACCCTCTAGGCCCCGTGCCGAAATTGGGTAGCTGTTCTGAGGTCCTTGTTGGTGTTGCTTCCCAAGTTCCATTGATCGCCATTTGGCTCAAGACACAATTGAGGTTCAAGATCTGATGTGTGACTGCATACATACGTGATCGGCATTGAGAGCGAAAACACTTCGCTTGCGCTGCATTTGTCAGGACCACTGTTGTAACTATCATTCCTTCTCCCTTACAACGTTTACACGGGTTCGGCTATAACGGCATCGTCCGTATACACCTTTCTACGTGGTTGGTATTACAGCTTGAGGGTTCGGTGCATAGCGTCCCACGGGACGTCACCTTGCCGTCTCTTGACAGCTTGTTTGCTACATAAACAGCACGGTCAACAGCACGCTAGTAGGCACAGTCCAAGATTCGACTGAGGATTTGCATCTGTCCCTTTATGTGGACGCCGATTTCGCCGGAGAGCGAGATGCAAAATCCACGTCCGGAGGATTCTTGATTTTGAGTGGTCCGCACACGCATTTTCCGCTTGCGTGGGTATCCAAAAGGCAGACATCGGTCTCCCGGTCAACGACCGAGGCGGAGATTGTATCTCTCGCATACTCCCTTTATCAGGAGGCGCTCCCTGCGCTTAGCTTGTGGGAGCTGATCTTGGACCGACCATTCCATCTCAAGATCCACGAGGACAATCAGGCGACTATCCTCGTAGCAAGGAAAGGTTTCTCATCCAAGCTACGCTGTGTCCAGCGAACACACAAGGTGAACCTCGCGTGCATCGCAGAGCAGCTTGAAAGCGAACACATCTCGATAGAATACGTCCAAACCGACATGCAGTCAGCGGACATCTTCACGAAAGCACTTCCACCCAACAAGTGGGACCATGCCATCCGGTTGCTCGGCATTCGTGTTGACCTTCCAGAGAAGCTTGAAGACGTTCGTGAAAGTAGGGCCGCTAAAGCAGCTGCCTAGTGCGCTGCAGCATGTCCGCAAATTTCCAAAGTGTGCAAAGTGCCTGGGTGATGCTTGAATAACTTGTGTCAGTCGTTGTGATGTAAACTTGACTTCAAGTTGGCGTGGTAATGCGCCCAAGACACTCCCTCAGTGCCGTCAATGAGGGGGGAGTCAATTATCACGATGACATTTATGGCCCAGAGGTACATGAGGTAGGTTCTCATGTAGTCAGTTGCATGTTGTACATTCAAGTGGTTGCCAAAGCATGATCCAATCACTGCTTTGGCTCAAGTGCTGAAAACAGCGCGTTGCACCGCGCTAGCCCCAAGGTTAAGGGAGAGGTCGCAGTCACGGAGGGGTTCGTTCCTTTTAAGGTCCCGGGTTCCCCCGTTGTTGACAAAACTGTGTTTCCCTCTCCTTTGAGTATTTTAGTGGGGATTGAATCGGATGTTCACTGGGGCTAACCGGGCTTTTCACCCAGGGCCATGTTTAGTGGGCTGCAGTTTTGGGCCCTGAGCTTCTTCGCCCCTGAGCTAGGCCCGTGGCTGGCGGCGGAGGATTTCATCTCCACGGACAACTGCCCAGCGTGGCGGTCCTTAGCCCGTCTTTTTTTTGCCGCCCCCTCGGCGTCTTTATGTCTTTCCTCTTTTTGTTGGGCGGTGAAAGGGGCGGGCTCCCCCTTCAATTCCTTTGGGGGCAGTTTGGACGTCACCTTGTTGCAACTTCATGGGGCTGGAGGGGGGAGTGATGTTTCAAGGCGACATGCAAGGAAGCTCGTGGTCAGCCCGGTTGCACGGCTTCGTTTCTTGTCCCTTTGTTTTGGGGTTGATTTCCTTGAAAGGGTAGGCTTCCGTCACGAATAAAGCCAGTCAGCCGTTCTGGGCGGTTTGAACATCGCCTGACAGCACATTGTTGCCCAGACGAAGTGAACTGCTAAATTAGTTCCTTCGGCTCGTTTATCCAGTTTTAGAGGGGTTCCGCCTGATTGATCAACCCGCGGTTGGTGGCAATGGGAACCCATGAAGTTTAAATGCCTGGTTTATGGCATAGGGTATCCCATGCAAATCTGAATGCTTCACGTGCAAGAGAAGAATCACCATCAACCACGTGCATTTCTTTTTTTTTGGCGCCCGCAATTGCCAAACAGGATGACTCTACTTTTGTTTTCTCCGGCCCCCCCCCTTCCCCAATTTTGCACCCAGTGTTTCAAAAGGACAAGCATTACAGACCGCAACTGCCCGTCTCAGTGGCGTTCACTTTGTATGATCCCTTTCCATGCCGATGGCAACCAGTCTGGGTGGTCCGCGCGAAAAAGGCGAAGGAGGGGGGTTCAAGACAGGTCCCATGTTCGTTGGGTGGCAGGGATCCCCTTGGTGTCGTTTTCATTGTGACCTCATCCCCTGAACAAACTTGCTGAGACCAGGTTTGGGGGAATTTGGGCGCGGCGAGATGGCCAAGCCTCAAGCCGAAGCGCCGGGAGATATCGCGCGGAAAGGTGAGCAGCAAAGAGATACCATTTCCAGCAAACAAGAAACGCGCACATGGCAAAACAAAACAGAAGTCAGCAGACTAGAACAGACTCCCATATTTTTAAGCGGAAGACCTGTGAGTTTTGAGCCGCTTTTCCTTGGGGGGCTTTGCTTGCCCTGAGAACGGAGCGGACGGGTTGCGCGGGGCGTTGGCGCCATGTGGCGGCTCCTGTCGCTTGCTTCGGCTTATCTCGTGGTGGCGTCGCAGCCTTCGGTGGAGGAGGGTGGAGGGCCCGTGATAGCACGTAGGGGTTCTCAAGGAAAGATCGATCCCCTTCTGGGTGGTCCAATCCCTATTTTCAGCATACCCATGCAGGGAACCGGAATGGTGAACTGCTTTAGGCGCTTGTTTTTCATGACTGGTGCCAAGTAGAAAAAAGTATCCGTGGCAGAAGGGGCTACTGGAATCTCATTTGTGGCGGCCCGTCTTCTCTTTAGGATTCGATGGATTGGGGGACCTTTGCCCTCCCAACGGTTCGGGGATATGTTTTCGTTGAGGCAAGCGACCAGCTTGGGGTGACCCTTCCTCGCTACGGGAATTGGGCGTTTCACAATCACCTCGCCCCCACACCAACTGGGAAGCGCCTTGAACCAATTTGGGAAGCTGACCTTCATCGTTACCCCAATTATGATGTTGATACAAAACATCTTGAACGCCAATCTTTTGGTTCAGCGCCAGTTTTGGTGAGATTTCTGGCTCATCCAATTTGGGCCCATCTCGGTTCATCCCAGCCTGTGGTGCGACTTTGATGATCCAGTACTCCGGAGAATCCAATCCAAGTGGATTTCTCCGAGTGAAACGTTAGAAAGCTCGCAGTCATGATCGGTTCATCCCAGTAGTTCAGCCAACTTGGGTTTGGGTTCATCCCGGTTTTTGGCCCATCTCGTGCCGCGTTTGGTTCCAACTGCTTCCAAGTTCGGCTCCTCGGCGGTCGGTGCAGGAGGTGAACCGCGCCATGGACGCCGCCAAGGAGGCGCTGGCCTCGGCGGCCGAGAAGGCGGGGCTTTTACGTGGGCGCCTGAAAGCGGACGCGGGTCATTGGACATTTTGGTGCTCTTGGGGGCGATTTTTTGAGTTTGCAGTCTTTTTTGTGTTTGGGGTTTGGGTTTGGCGGGGGGGGGGGGGGGGGCGGGGGTTGGGTGAAGGGAAAACCAGGAGGGAACCACCGACCAGAAGAGGGGGGTTAAATTTTGAGAGACACCCTCAGTGGGTACTTGTGCAATAGCCTTGTTTGCTGGGTTCAAGTTTCCCTCAAGCTGCCGGAGTTTGCGCCGTCGGCGCATCCGCCGAACTTCAGGCAACCCTTGGTTGGTGGTTTGGAAATTTGATCCGCTGGTTGTGGTAGACGGTCAATGGGAGTTTCCCCCCCCACTTATATCGCTATATATGCCATGAAACCATCGATTCGGCTCCTGAAGCACCAAGCCACCAATCCACCAAGCCACCGATTCGGCTCCAAACCAATCGGCTTGACTGCTATTGCGTTGGATCTTTAGACTTAAACCTTTTTGGGAAACAAAGTTGTTTTCCACTAAACCCCCCCCAAAAAGTTAAACTTTTTGCAGGGGCGTCAACAGCAACCAAGTCGGAGGGATGCCGACAGGAGAAGAAGGCGCAGGAGGAGCAGCGGGCGGCGGAGGAGGCGAAGGAGGCTTTGAAGAAGCGCAGTGTGCGCCAGTCGCAGCGAGAGGAGGAGGCGGAGTCGGGAGAGGGGGTGGACCCACAAAAAGGTCGTTTTCCTTTTGGTCATCCATCAAGACCACCACAATAAAGGTGCTCAGAACAAAAAAGAAACAACGACGCACCCATGTCAGTTTACTTTTCACTTGGTGGTTTGGATTGCTATTTTGAGAAATTGAACCCTTCTTTCTTGTAGAGGTCTTCACACAACAAATCTCTGCACTTCCATTGCCCAAGGATGCTGGCCACGTACCCGGTTTGAAGTGTTTGCCCGCCCCCAGGCTACCGTGGATTGACGCCAGGGTCAGGCGAAATTGGCTTAGACCACCAGGCCCTGGGCCCCTTTAAAGGGAGACAAAGAGAAGGCTGTTTGAACCGAGCTTTGAAGGTCAAGTCACCTGAGTGGTCGCTAGATGCCTGAGGGTGTAGCATATAACTTTTTCAGGCCAAGTTTGCGGCGCCACGCGCAAAGTAGGGGAGGAATTGATGTGTTTTGTTTGGGGTGGGGGGGGGGGGGGCGGCAGGAAAAGAATTGCCCCCAACCGTTTCGGTTTTTCGGATGATGCAGGAAGAGGCGAGGCTGCAGAAGAAGAAGGATCGCTTGAGGAAGGAGAGGCAGCAGATCCAGGAGATGCGAAGGGACGCCAAGGAGTGCGGATGGCGAGCGTCGAAACTCTCCAGACCCACTTGCCACCCAAAAAATAGGTGGACCTTGGGAGGGTAGTTGCAATGCAAAAGCAGCCAAAACACGTGGACCTTGGGTTCTAGTTTTCCTTGGGGTAGTTGCAATGCAAAAAGAGCCGGAGGCTTACCGGCGAAATGAGAGCAAGAACGCGCAAGCAACAAAAAATGTGCCAAGCCAATGGCAGCGGGCACCCAAATGCCTGGGGGGAAGGTTTTGCCGGGCTTTCAGCAATCCGTTTCCCGTTTTTGGAATGGGCGCGGGGAAGCGATGGTGGGCACTTCTCAAAGCCAAGTGCCGTGGATGCCCTCTAAATCCCTCGTTTGTTGGGTGCCTGACGAACATGGATTCAACCGAACAAGGGTTCCACTTCTTTTTCTGCGGGGTCCTGCAACATGGAAAAGTAGGTGTTCGGAAGGGGTGGGGTGTCTAGGCCCCTTTCAACGCTTCGTGCTGTTGTGGGGGTTGCCAGCCGCCAAGGTGCCCTGGGTCCAACCGCATGGAATGGTCGCTGTTGCCATAGGCGGGTTTCAGATTTCAGGGAAGCCCCGTGCTTTGAGGCTGTTACAAACCTGGGTGGGCTTTTGTTTGGGCCGTTTGGGGCTAGTTGTTGCTTGTTTGAGGCCATGGCAACAGGCATGCCCAGACGGAGTTTGAGGACCCTCTCAGGGCTCCATTCCCAGTGCGTGCGTCCAGTGCTGTCTGTTTATATGATATAACAAGTCGTTCGCCAAGCGAACCGCACTATTCCTACCCTGCAACCTCCCCTGCTTTCTTCCCGGCCAACCTCCAACAGGCCTTGTCAGCGTGTTAGCTTAATTGTTTAGGGACCTGTTTGGGTGAAACAATGGGGAGGGGTCAAGGGCCTATGAAAGTAACAGCCATTCGGCAACGTGGCAGGCTGCGTGGTTGTTGTTGGGCCTTTTTTGTTTTTCTTTCTTTTTTTCTTTTTCGGCGGCGGGAGGGGATCAGGGGAACTTGGGTCGAAACAACAGCCTTGGTCCCAAGCTGGGCTTGATTTCGAGGCCAAAAGGCAGCCCCCTGGTAATGGGTGTTTTGTTTTTGCGTTGTCCACACGTTTGGTCGGCGGAAAGGACAGTTCAGGATGGGCCTCCCTGGCATAGGGGTCCTGTTTAGATACGGATGGCACGGGTTTAGATTGGTTTAAGTCCATTTACTGGAGCCATCTATTTTACCAAAAGGACACCTACGCCCCCTGAGTGTTTTTTTTTTCCCCCTCTGGGGCCAGGAGGAGATGCAGAAGGCGCTGAAAGCCAAAGACCAGGCGGAGTGGGACCAGTCACTTGGCTTCGGCTCGGCCGGGAGAAAAACTTTCTCCTTGGCGGTTCCCAGCCATCCTGTTTGTTCCTTGGGTTTTTAGGCGGGAGTTCCATTCAACCTACTAAGACTGAAACACTTTTAGCGGGGGTCTGAGGACAGCCCAGATAAACCTCGCAAGAATTGGGAATCCTTTAAAATTGTCTTCTTGCTGGCTTTTTAGGGGTATCGTTTTGGGGTTAGTTCAAAAGGAGCACCAACAGGAAGCCATTTTGGATTTGTCCCTATTTTGAGACACCCCAAATGGTGGACCCCTTTTGATTGGTACCTAAAAGCCAGCCGTTCTTTCTGGAAAAGTGGCCCATGCTCGGTGGCCGAAGGGCGTCCTTGGACTTTGGAGGATCATGGCCCTCGCGGGGGGCTATGGGGGCTATCGAGGAAGCTTTGGACAAGCCAAGGCTAAGCTCTTACTTATTCAGGTGGTCAGAGGATGAAAAAATGAGAGCACCGCTGGCCAGGCGTTGGGATTTGATTGTTGGAGCAATTTGGTTGTGCTCTGTCTTGGACGTTGAACGTGACCCGGCGGGTGCACCTGGAAGATCCGTTTCCTGTTAATCAGGCAGCCTGCGAAGTGCTATGCAAAAAAGGGCCAGCAACAGTTTGCTGGTACCAGGGTGTAGGCCTTCAGTGGTGCCCTTTTTCTCCTCGTTTTTAGGCGTTTCCCAACAGGCGGGCCGCAGGAGGCCGGGGATGGTCCCTTCCTAAGGACAGACGCGCTGGACAAGCTGCAGCAGGATGAAAAGCTCCACAAAGAGAGCGAGAGCTCCTCGACTACGCCCAGGTTTGAGCAAATCTATGCGAGGTCACCTGGGCAAACGGGCTCGCCCATGCGGAATCCGGAATATATTTTTTGCCGGGAAACTTCCTGATTGCAGGTAGGTGAAACTACTCCAACTTGCCCAGATCCATGTATGGGGAGGCCTGCATCCTTCAATATTTACCAAACACCAATCGGCATCACAAAAAACCAGCAAAAACCAGTGCCAATTGCGGTCCAGCTGGTCCAACCGCAGCATCGAGAACAAAAAGCGACGCTCAAGCAGAGCGCCAAGAGCTGAACGCGTGACCCCGCTGATCTGATGCTCTCGCTGCCCCTGAGCCATATTAACAAACGCCGGGCAGATGGATTTGCTGACACTCAAGCGGCGCAGCAAAACTTTAAAGCAACTTCAACAAACTGTTGCAGCAAAACAGTAAATCAGCCCCACAGACGACGCAGTAGGTGAACCACGGGAAAATCACAGTGACTAAAAGGGTTACTAAGGGTCATTCAGCTTCCCCGACTGGTTGGCTTCGGGACGGGCGACCGAGCACTTGTAAGTTGGCATATTTGGGGCAATACGGCTTTCATCACGGGCGAAAACCCAACACTTGCTTGCAGGGTACCTTCTCAAACTAAACTAAGCCATGATCATCAGACAATACGGTGTGCCACTGTTCAGAACCAGCAGCTGAATTTGTATTTTGCGACTTAACTCAGTTCAAACGTAGGCTCCCCCCTCCCATTCCAATTGTTTTTCCACGGGGACACGACTAGGCATGCTCAAGCGCTCGGCCATCAATGACGACGAGGCCGCCAAGGTGGAGACGGCTGCAAGGAAGAGCATGGATGAGGCAGCCTGTTCTCTCTAGAAAAAGGGTTTGGGTGTGGCTTGTGTGGATCCACCCCAGTACTAAAAGATTGCTAGAAAAGGACTAACGGGGGGAAGAACAGGTAACATCTATAGCAAGCGCATCCAAACTGTTTTCTAGATTTTCCAGCGAGCCAGTCCAAACATCCGTTCCCCAACCCAAGTGACCCAGTGACTTCTTTTGTTTCTATTTAGATAAATGTTGGAACATTTTTTTTTGTGTGTGTGTGTGCGCCCCAGATTTAAGGCAAGGCCTGGTCCCCGAATTCCACAAATTTGGACCCTCATAAAACCTCGAAAGAAACAACGTGAGGGGAGCGTTGGATATGAAGCAGCCCCCCTTTGCAATCAATCTCCTGGCCAACATGGAAGACGTTCGGGTTGCTGGGGGACTTTGGACGGGAATCTTGGATTCTTGGATCAATGAACCACCCCCCCTCAAACCTTCATACCGGTCAGGTTTCTTATGTCGTGCAGATTTCAAAAGTTCCCAAACGGTCCGTGGAATTCCCTGCCAGGCGCGGGAGGCGGAGGCCCGGGCGGCCAAGGACCGGCGCAGCTACCGCGCGAAAGCCGCCCAGGCGAGGGGCGGTTTTGGGGGGTGCAGGCACGACCCGTCTGACGGTTCCCGTCCCAGGCGTCCGTTTCCGTAGGTCTTTTGGTTATTAGGTTTCTGAACTTGGAACTTTTTTTGGGAAAGACCATTGTACGATTTTATTGTGGGATGGGTCATGCATGGAGCTAAAAGGGTGATGGTCCTTTTGTTCTCCCTTTAAGCCAGCCTTAGCCGGAGCCCTGGAAGGGTTCGGGCCTTACTTCTTGGCCTCGTTTGGCCTTCATACAAATAATTACTAGGGAAGCTCTACACATACTAATTTTAGTTCCCCCCCCGCTCTACCACGACTAATTGACTACATCCACAGTTTGCCACTATCACGACAAATTAAGTATGGGCCTTGTTTGGCCTTGACTCCATCTAAATAGCTACTAGTAGCTTCCCACTACAAATACTAATTTTAGTTAACCCCCCCCCCCCCCCCCCCCAAGTTTTCCGCTCTCACGGCCACATCTTTGGTTTCCCATTCCAAGCCCCGCGCCTCGCAGCGCGCCGGACCGATCCCGAGCGCGCGCCAAGAGCCTCAGGCGGGCGCGGCCCAGCGGGAGGCCTGGCGCGCGGAGGCGCGCGCCGAGGCGGCGGCGCGGAAGAAGGCGGCGCAGCTGGACGCGCTGCAGGCGGAGCGCTTCTTGGATCGGTCGGGGATCGGTCGCAGGTCGCAGGGAGCCACAAGGCGGCGGACCAACCCAAGCTCGTCTTGTTTTTTCCCCAGATAGCTGAAAGCTATAGGGGTTCTAACTTCTAATAAAGAGGGGGAAGTGATTTGCGAGATTGATGGGCTGGTGCTAAGGGGCGTGCAGTTTGGGGTGCTGGTTTTTGCGGATTGGGGTGCTGTTTGAGGTGCTGATGGCAGTGCGGGCGCATCTTTTCAAGATTGACGGTAGGGTGCTAGGGGGCATGCAGTTTGGGGGTGCTGGTGCAGGTGCTGTTTTGGGGGTGACGGTGCACGCGTGTTTTTGCATCTTGGGTAGGGTGCACGGGGGCATGCAGTTTGGGGTGCTGGTGATGGTGGTGTTTTGGGATGCTGTTTGGGGAGCTGTTTGAGGTGGTGGTGACGGTGCGGGCGCAATTTGCGATATTGACGCCCGGGTGCTATCGGGCATGCAGGTGACGGTGCAGGCACATTTTTGCATCTTGACGGTAGGGTGCAAGGGGGCACGCAGCTTGGGGTGCTGGTGCAGGTGGCGTTTTGGGATGCTGTCTGGGGTGCGGCTGGGTGTTTGGGGTGGTGGTGTTTGGGGTGCTCTTAGGGTGACGGTGCAGGCGCATTTTTGCGAGATTGACGGCAGGGTGCAGGGGGCATGCAGTTTGGGGTGCAGCTGCAGGTGCTGTTTTGGGATGCTGTTTGGGGTGCTGTTGGAGGTGCTAGTGATGGCGCGGGTGCTCGAGGCCGGGTGCTGTTTGGGACGCTCTTCGGGGGGGTGCTGTTGGAGGTGCTGGTGTGCAATCATTGCTATCTGGAGTCTATGCTGGTGTATTCTTTTTTTTTTGGGGGGGGTAATGGATTTGGACACCCACCCCCGAAATGGGTGGGTTTTTGTTTGGGTGCTGCTTCGGAATCGCCAGAAAAGAGGGTACCCTCAGAAAAAGACAGGCCCAAAACGGGTTCCATTTGGATGCCCGTTTGGGCGACAGAGGTCCAGAACATCTTTCCTTTGACTGGTTTGTCAGTGGGATGCCCCACTTTCACCTCCAAACCCAAAAACCAAATTGGAGGGAAGCTGAGTACGACCTGAGATGAAGTCCTTGTCCAAAAAGTGGAGCGGCAAGTCTTCAAGTGCTCTTAGCCTCCCGGCCCCACACCGGGCCCTGTTGCTGGGCTGGGAGCCCGTGGGGTTTGCTGGTGAGGCGCAGCAGGAGTCCGTGGCCAAGGACAAGGCGAAGCTCGAGACGCAGCTGGCGCAGGTGGCGCAAGCCAGGCGGGAGCCGATCTTTTTTCTCCCGGCGGACCTCGAATTTGAAGCCCAGGTGTTCTGAGCCAAGCGGGAAGAGAAACTATCTTTCTCAGCCTGGTCGATTTTCGCTCTGGTCATTGTTCTTTTGAAACTTTGGAGTTTTGAGGTTTGGGTGTGTTGCGGATGGCTGGAGGCAGTGCAGAATGAGGGTTATGAGTGGATCAGAGGCGAATATTTCTGAAGCAGATGAAAGCTCGGCATGCCAGCTTTGCCAAATCAGGAGAAGCCCCCACCTCTGCGGGCTCCCAGGAAAGTTCTCAGTTTTTACTCGAAGAAGCCCATCTAAGGCGAGGTCTCTTTCCGGGTTTGCCGCTTTTCTGAAAAGCATCCTACCTTTCAGAAAAAATCGATTTGCATAAGGCGATTTGTCATGTTCGGTGTCAAAATAGTGCTTTTTGCTGGCAGAGAAGTTAGCAACCAGTTTTTTGTACAAAATTCACGCTGTGGTAAAGACAAACCGTGTCCAGAAACACAAAAAGACGTGTCAGGAGAGGTTTGCTTGCATTTAATCTTGCGCCATGGCTGTGAAGTTGGAGCAACCAGATCTGGCCCAACATCATGCTGAAATCATGGCACAACTGCACAAGTTTTGGAAGGAGAGTCAGCTTTGTGACGTGACACTGCGGAGCCGTGATGGGATTGAGCACCGTGCTCATATAGCAGTGCTATCCGCAAGCAGCAGCTGCTTCAAGACTTTGCTGAGTGGATCTTGGCTAGAAGGTGACCAGGTGCAGCAAGGACAGCCGGTGGAAATTGCGGCTTCCGATGCAGTCGTGTCTGCCTTGCTGTATGTGTATGGCGGGCCCGAAGTGTCGGTTGATTCCACTGAGCTGCGGCTAGCGGATGCTTTCGGATTGCCGAAGCTGAGGCTAACGAGAAGGGGCTCCGTGCAGCTTTGGACAAGGCGCCGGTGGCCACTGCGCTCAAAGTCTTGCAAGAAGCACAAGGATTGCATGATTTGAAGGCAACATGTGAGGACAAAGTTGCTGCACACTTCCAGGCTTCCGTTCAGCAACCTGGCTTTCTGAAGCTAGAGGCTACTCAATTGGCCCAAATCTTGGAAAGGGAAGATCTACAAGTATCTCGGGAGGAGGTGGTTGTGGATGCCATCTTCAAGTGGTTCAATCACTCCAAAAAGAGTGCATGCGTCTTAGGTTTGCTGCTGCGAGATGTGGATTCTTCATCGGTTTCTTCCGAAAAATTAAGTCGAATTGACAAGCTCGCTTCATCTTTTGGCCCAACGGGCGACTACCTGCAACGAAAAGTTGATGAAGCGTTTAGGGCGAAGAAGAAGCGAAGCAGGGATGACACTTCTGACGACTTTCGACCCAAGAGGCGCTGCTTCCAACACTGGTCACCTGTTTTGGGTGCCAGTTGCGAAGCTTCTGGGAGAAGTAGCGTGTGGCCAGGCAACTCATGTAATTTGTACTCGGAGATGTGCTGGTACAAGGGTGCTTTTTATGCCACGGATGGGCGCGGCATCATCTTCTGGAGACCTGGTGATGCTGACTCTCAAGTCTTCTGTGCCAGTGACACTTTGGGGCATGACTGCTCCTTATCTGCTTCCCCTACAGGGGAGCTGTTCGTTTGTGATGTGGGCAGAGAAAACTTGAGCAGCTTTCAGAATGGATCTGGAAAGTTGATCCTTGATAGCATTAAAGGTGAGGTGCGTTGCTCTCCCAATGGTGCAGTTTACCTGCTGACAAATGATGGACAAGCAGTGCAAAAGCTGTTTGGTTCGACCCTACAACCTGTGATTGACAGTTTGAGTGACAACAGCAACAGTCGCATTCTTCGCTTCGGTCCAGGCGACACGCCATTGTAGGAGAGGTATCATGGGAGCAAGGGCCGGTTGTAGGAGAGGAGGAAGGGGAAGGGCCACATCTACAGGGTTTATTTGTGACAGAAGGCGGTACGATCTATGTGGCCGACTTCAATGCTGTGGGCCTTTTTTTCCAGGTGACACAACCTGCCATGAAGTTTTGAAATTTCCGCCTGGAGAAGGTCCTGTTTCTGTCGCGATTCATGACGGCTCGCTTTTTTGGAGCACGATTCATGATGACTACCACCGTGTGATCTATCAGTGGGTGCTGCCTGCTGAGTTGCAACTTGAGTGCAGCAACTCAACGCATGAATGAAAAAGGACTGCAATTCAAAGTCGGCTTGGGGGCTTCGGCGCCTTGCTGGCGAAAAGCAATGGACCCGGTGTTGGGCAGGATTGGTTCAGTTAGCTTGGAGATCATGGTGGTCCAGG